CATTTTTATACAAATTATTCTAAATATTAAAATTCGCCGTAATATATGCAATTTTACTTTCATATTAAGTACATTTTTTTCAATAGATTCTTTGCAAATTAATTATTGCTTAAATATTTAAAAACATTGTTACTGACATTGTAACTCTCAAAAATATTTCTGAACGAATAATTTTTCATAATATTTGATTGCAAAATATTTAAATTTTTTTTTTAACAAAATTATTAAGAAAAAAAGGAAAAAATATAAAAAATTCCTAGGTTAAATGCTTTTTCTCTTATATTTTTATATTTGATTGCATTTTTTATTTATTTATTTATTTTTTATATGAAACTACATAAAAAAATGATGATGAATGTTTGCACTGTTTTAAATACTTTGTAGTAAATTGATTCATTCTTCATTTGGATTTAGAAAAAAAAAAAAAAAATTTATTTGGCAACAAAAAAAAAATTTTAATAATGAAATTTTTTTTAAAAAGGTAAAAACAAAATCATTAAAAAAGATTTCTTTTAAATTTTAGTCTAAAAATGGAATACAGTGATGAACGTTAAAAAAAGTTTACAAAGTTGATGAAAATTAATTTTTTTTAGTAAATATTTAAATACACCTCTAATAATAATTTGTTACCGAACAGTAGAAGCGATGGTAGTTTAGATAACATTTTCAGTGTTTGTGTTTCTACTTTTTTTCTTCTTTAAAGTTTTTATTGTCATCAATAAATAAATTTGAAAAAAATAAAGAATGAATAAATATAAAAATGCTAAAGAAAACAAAAAAAAACAAAAATTCAAAATGAAAACAAAAAGCAGAAGCCAGACATTAAAAAAAAGTATTTGAGAAAAATGCGAAAATATGCGAATTATCTTTGTGCGAAAACAATTTTTTTTTATCTTAAGGAAGTCAAATATAATCAATAAAATTTTTTGCGGAAATATTAATAATTGAGACGATAGATTTACGCCGTTAAAGAATTAAAATATTAATTAAAACATAATATCAGACCATGTTTATTATGGTACGGTAGGCGGTATAAAATTTATAAAGACCTAGAAATATGGAAAATAAAAGAAGAAATAATGGAATAAAAGAAAAGAAATACAAAGTGGTTGGACAAAAGAAACATAATCAAAAAATTTCAATATTATTGATTTCAATTTCAAGAAATGGCAATATTATTAAAGTTATAATAACTAGAATACAAAAGAAAATGTCAAAATTTGCTAATGCTTATATTTATGTACACAATTACATTTGTTTGTATAAATATGTATTTATTACTCTAATAAAATCTATTTAGTCAAAATCATGATTTAATTTCAATTTAAGTGGTTGTTTTCGCCACAGCATCACTTGATTATAAATAATTATTGTAAAAAATTACCTTAAAAAGCGATTTTGGAAAGTGTTTTCGTAATGAAATGGGCACAGGCACATTAATGTTTTCCAATCGTAAATTTCATTTTTTTTTATCTTTTATTTTTGTCGCTACTGATTTTGATCATATAAAGTTTTTCATGTCACAGCGAAATTACTTTGTTAGGCGTCTGTTAGTATGCAATATTAGGAGTACGCATATATGGAGTGATATTACCATTGTGTCTTTTTACCGATCGACTTACATACAACATGAAAGGTATTGTAATCGTATTAGTTTCATATACTTATTTGTTTCCTGCTACAAAAGTGTAAAGCAATTAGTTTTGGAAAAATTTCGGTCTAACCTTTTGTGCATTTCAGATGAATCAATTTTGATGAAAATTTATATCTCAGCTAACTTTCATTATCTGATGGATTTATTAGTTTTTGGAATATGTCAGGTTATATAGCAAGTGGACTTTTATTTTATATATGGATTTAAAAAAAGATATTTACCGCATATGATACGGACAAACAAGAGATTTTCGGTGAAGGTTTTGATTATTGTGACAAATACCTGAACTGTAAACTGATATGTGGTCTACGACTGAGTTCTCTGTGACCCAATGCTTACAATAGTGCTAACGAATCTAACAAACAAATTTTTTGGGAGAATTGGATTCGGAAAAATTTTACCAAAAACTAACTACTTTTTTTTATTTTATTTGTATTGCCTATGAAGTTATGATTTAAATTTAAAGGCTTGTTAAATATTAGTTTCTGTCTTCGTTATGGGCCTTGTAATAGTATAGGGATATGCATAGATCTAGTTGCAATAAAATGGCTGAAATTCGCCTTGGATCCAATACGTCTTTCGTCTCATATACAAAAACATCAGCTTAGTTGAGCAACCTTCAATAAGATTTTGAAAATTTATATCTGAACTTCTGAAATACTTGAATTCAGGCATTTCAGTCAGAATTCCTTTAAGATTTTTTTAATTCCATACTAGTCCTTATACAAGTAAATTTCGTACTATTAATATTTTTTTTATTTTATTTGTTGCGGAAAAATTCTCAAAAGAAGCCACAATAAATCTACTGGCTCATACATCGAATATATTAGTAGGGCCAATGTGTTTGATAAAAGTCATTGAAATTGCTTTTCTCCTTCTGGTAGCTGTCCTACAACTTCAAAAGTTATTTGGCTATATCTCAGAAACTATTAAAGGTGTGGTGTTGAAATTTCACACAAGCAAATATATTAGAAGGGCCGATGTGCTTTATAAAATTCGTTAAAATTTCTTGGCTCTTTCTGGTAGCTGCCCTACAACTTCAATAGTAGTTTGGCACACACAGTATTTTGAATAACATAGTACTGAAATTAATGTAGTAATACGGCAACTTAAAGTCAGAGTCTGCCCCATAGTAAGTTACAGCATATTTATTCGCACATAGGATAAAAAATTCGTACGGATATCACAGAGTTGACAAGGTCAACTCCATTTTTTCTCGTTTTTACTAATGTTGTTATTCAGAAATGGTACAATGCCGTTAATCATATGTTGGGTTACATTAGGTTTTATTCTTTAATATAAAAACATATAATAAAAATTTTATGGTTATTGGTCATAAATCAGTACGTGTCGCTTAGCTTGAAGTTAAGAAATTAGCTATTTTAAAATTGAAACATTTTTCAAAACATAATTTTTTTTAAAATAAATTAAAATTAAAATCTATAATTGAAAATATTTAAGAGCTTGCCACAGTTTTAATAATTTAACATAATTTTTAAAATATTTGAAAATGGTTTCAATTGAATAATTTGCTTTTGAAAAATTTATTTTGTTCCTTTTCTTCCGCAAGGAATCAGAAATTACCAATACCTAATAATAATTAGCCTAGTTTTAAGCAAAAACTATTCATAGCTAGATCAGCTATAAAAAGTAAAAATTGAGATAATTGACTTTAAAAGTCAAAAATATTCTAAAAATCACAAATTATTCAAAAGCTTTCATATTTCCTTGTTGTATAAAAGTTTAATTTATTATAAGGTAATCGGAGGGGTTCCAACAGTTTATGATACCATTTTTAATCAAATTTTATTTCAAAAATCATAGATTCCCGCAAGTTATGTAAAAGACTTTTTAACATTTCAAAAACAGATTTTCTAATGTACCAAACAGGTTTCATTATAAGTTTTTTCTTAATGCTAATTATTATTTATACAATATTTAATGGTCAAGGTTACCATAAAAATTCAACCACTAAAGCGATGTTACATGTGAATCACAAAACATTTGTGCATTTCAAAAAAATATATGAAAACCTTTCGTGTTATAAAACATTTTACAATATTTTGTAGTAAAATTTTAGAGACGAAAATATAAAAAAGACAAAAATATCATGTTATATCTGTAGTCGAGTTTGCTAAAATAACCCGGACCTTACGAAAATTTATGATAAAAGGTATAAAAATATTTTAAAACAAAACTTTCTTTCTCTTTTAATTTGTAACTTAATATTGATAAAATGATTTTAAATGTAAAAATTATTTAAATTTTTTGTGTGAGAGAGCGAATCAAAACTATAATTTTTTATATCAGACATTTATTCAAAAGCAAATTATAACCATATCTAAAACAATTGTATCAAATTTATGGACAAATTGAGTCGACCTTATAAGAAATCTTTCTTTTCTGTAAAAAATTGAAAGATGTCGTAAGAAGATTATCGTCTATATCGTGTTGCTTTTTTGTAATTATTCTCACAGAATTGATAGCAAAATTATCTAGAATTAATATAAAAGTCAAGATTCAGGGAGAATTTGACTGACCATCCTCATTTTCTTTAAATTTAATTTAGTTAAACATAGCAGCACAAAAGGTGTTTGCAAAAATTCTAGTTTGGATTCATATTCTTATTAATGATAATTTTTTTTTATTTTTATTGGGTGGTAATTCAAGAATTAATTTTGTATAGAGTGCTACCATTTGCGTTTCTCGTTTACTAAGTTAATATTTGTTATGAGTTGCTTATATAAAATTAGCATGATGTCGTTTTAGTCATGATTTTATACGCTTTTGTTGTTAAATTATAGCTTTTAAATTTTATAAATTTTTTTTTTTTTAAATACTATAAAATTATCTAATACCAAGTAGTAAAGCGAATTTGTATTTGCTAAAGTGCGCTAAGCATTAAAATAGAAATCGCAAAAGTTTTATCAAGTCGTCTTGCGTAAATGAAGGCGGAGCAACATTGTTTTTAAATAAAATAAACCCAAATCGTTTTTTTTGTGTTACAAATATTTTTCTCTAGATACTCCTAATCATATGCAATTTTTGTTAAAGATTTTAGTTCTCCTAAATATATGCTGAAGCTTCAAGAAAACAAAATACAATTCATGCAAACAATTAGTATATTTTTATTTCGATTTCGGAAAATATTTCATAATATTTTCGTTTTGCGTGTTAGAAATTTTACTTGAATTTACAAAAAAAAAAAAAACGAAACATTCAATATTGTTATCAGTCTATTAACGAGTATATTAAAAATCTTTTTAGCCTCCTAAAACTATACAACAAAAAAGTTGAAAAAAACAAATTGAACTAGAATTTGAAATCTTCAAATATTATCGCCATTTTAATGGACTGCTGGTAAGTATGTATTGTGTACCACTGGACTAGCTACAGCAGGTGGAATATAAGAATTTTGTGGTGGTGGTGGTGGTGGAGCAGGTGCAGGTGCTGGCGGCAAATATGTATTTTGAACTGCTGGTGATGAAGCTACACCGAAATTGCCACCAAAACCACCTGCAGAACCACCAAAACCACCAAATCCACCAGCAGAACCACCAAAACCTCCTGAACCACCGCTACTTGGTACTGAACCAACGAAACTTTGAACAGGTGCTACACCTTCATTACTAATTTGTGTTGGACCATTCAAATTATTGTATTGGGCTTGAATGCTATGTTGTGCATGTTCAGCTTCTTCTGGTGTTCTATATTTGACGAAATGTACTTCTGGTTTATTGGCATGCACATCTTGTGATTGAGCCAATTTATTTTGTAATTCACCCAAATCAGTTTGTTTTGTAAGTACATATACGGCTGTTTTATCAGATGAACTAGATTTTGCTAATTGTAAAGCAGCATCAGTTAAACCTTTGTTTTCTGGTGCTTTTATAATAACAACACGTAAATTTCTTCTAGCTGATGATTGATCTCCTCCGCTGCCGATTCCACCTAGATCATGATCTTCTGGAGCTGAATAAATTGAAAATTGTTTATTCCATATTGCTGGACCCTGTTGCCCGCCACCAATATGACCACCAACACCACCGCCAAGATGACCATGTTGTGAAGATGCTTGTGGTTGATTATAATTGTATTGTGGTGCTGCAACCGCAATCGAAACCAAAGTAAAAATCTATGTTTAAAATATAAGAAGGAAAACGAAGAATGTATTCAATTTTATTTGCTCTTTAAATAATTTTTTATAAATAACAAGTGAAAGTGTTTTATATCTAATTTGTGACAATTTTTTTTTTATTTTTACCAAAAATCCACGCATCTTTAAAATTATTTTATGGTTATTTTCTTGTAATATTAAAAAGTTGTAATAGTTAAGAGTTCAAGATTGAAACTGATAATCTAAATTTGCAACACCACGCTATTTATATGAAATGATATAAAATTTTAAAAATGGCAATAAATTTAATGTGTGTCACTTTTGCAACTATAATATTCAAATTATATCAAAAGAAATGTACATTATGCATGTATAAAAAATATATCAAAAATTTGAAAAAAAAAAAAATATTAAACGAATAAAAAAAAAGAAGATTTAAAAAGTTATTCAATTTTGTAACTGGTGATGACGGGTAGAGATTGTGTCTTTTTTGTATAACAGCACAATAAATTAACTAATTAAAATAATTTCGAATATTTTTATAATTTAAATAACAAAACATAAAAAAGCAAATAACAAATAACACACGCTTTTATATAAATAATAAACGTCAAATATGGAAGGCTTTTAATTTTGCTGCATTTAAATAAATTCAATCTTTTTAGGCTTAATCTAAAACACCTCAACCTAGTGTCCTGATTTGAAAAACATTTGTAAAATATTTTTATTTCTTCAACCCATAATAGGATTTTTTTTCTTTTTACGTAAATCAAATATTTTTCTCTTTACATAAAAATGTCATAATTCTTCAGATTTATTAAGGTAAGATGAATTTGGATTGCTTGTTACATTTTAGAGGAAGATAGCTATTTTATTATTTTTGTAAGAAAAACTTACAAAAATTTGCATTTCAATTCTCATGTAAAATTTGTTGTATTAATTTAAGAAAATTTCCATATATATTCGATTAATAAATAAGAAATAAATGAATCGATTTATTAGAAGATTGTAATAAAAGTTGAAATAAATCATTGAGTGATTCGGTCGATACCCGCTTCTACATATACTTCATTAACAAGGTGTACTGTAGTTAATGAAAATCTTTCCGAGAATATTAAAAAATTATAATTAAAATTCATTTATCATATAATATTAATGTATGTTTGTATATTTAGAGCTGAAAACATTTAATTTTAATGTTTTATTTTGACCATATTTCAATTTTCGAAACATCAAATTTTCATATTATTATTACAATAATTTTCCTAATGTTCATAATTTTATCATATTAATAATATTTTGTTATTGTAATTTGATACATACATACATTTAAAAAAAATTGAATGTTTTATTTTGGTAAGCTCTTGAAGCATATTTTATAGCTTTTATAGTGAGATAATAAAGTGACAAAGCGAGGACAAACAAATAATAATAATTATAATTTTATTATGAATAAAAGGTATGCCACATGATAAAATTTATATACCATAACAATAATTTTGTAAGGTTTGCAAGTAAAATTTCCGGTTTTCTAATTATTTTTTAAATCTAGAGAAGTTGACGTAAGATGTTAAGATTTAAGATTAAGGTTACATGTTAAGATTTAAAATTTTAGGAAGAATTCCCGGTTTTTCCCCGTCGAAAAAATTAGTGTTGTATGTATTATATGGGTTGTAAAATACATATGGTATGTTCGATAAGAAGAAGTTCCATAAATGACGAATTTGTGAAATATTACATGAAAATTAGGAATTGTTGTACCGACATTGGGAATTATTGCGATCGGCACCGAATTGTTAATTTAACGTTCGGCCAAAGTACGTAATTTTGAAAAATCTGATTTACGGCCAAGGTTAAAACTGAATAATTGAAAAATTAAAGAGAAATATATGTAACTTACAATTCTTTTATGAAAACTCACGTGTCTAAAAAATTATTTTAAGAACTTAAAATTATACCTGCTATGTAACCTAAAAATTAATAAATATCTTTTTAGCACTTTTCCAAAAAAATTTTGAAAAAAAGTGCTTATTAGTTTCACTTTGTCCGTCGGTAAAAAGACGAAATTTCAGAAAGCTGAAATTTCAAGATAGAAAGCTGAAATTTTATATCTACCTAGATCTTTACTAGAGACTTATTTGCGTAGTCAATTTTCACCTATTTTCCCCCTCTACAAGTTATACCCCCCCAAAACGTTAAAAATGCCACTTTTGAACTATTTATTGGAGTGAAACCATGAGCATTTTTCGATTTTTGCAAAATAATAAGAGCAGTGGCTTGCTTTTCCTATAGCGGCATGCTATAGTTAAACTTTAAAAAATAAAGTAGCCTTTAAAATTTACCGTTATCTAAAATCAGTTTTATCCATATTTTTGCTGTTGTTTTTTTTCTAGACCTCAGGTTGTAAAACTCTGAAATTTTAACAGCTTTTAGACACTAATCAATAGTTCATTTCGTTAGAAGAAAATTGTTTTCCACTTCCCCCCCCCCCTGAAGTTATCTTCTCTTGAAATTTGTAAAATTTTAATTTTCGCACCTTATATTTTCGAAATGCAGGTTTTTCAAAATTTTTATAAATGTAGGGGCTAGTTAAAAAATATAATTATTTTTCTTAGTTCACTCAATTAACCCTTAAATTCGAGCATTATGTTAACATTTCTTTAAATTTTTTTGTGCTTTATTGCAAAGATTGCACGCATTGCTCATCCTAAATGTATGCAAATTTTCAAATATGTGAAAATATCCATAGATATGAAAGTAATTTTCATATACGAGTACATAGCAAGATTGTTTAATATTTTCACTTGCTGAAGCTAAAAGTGCTACATTACAAACTTTTGGTTTAACCCAACTTTATTTAAATCGGTATCACTTTTATATTGTGGGTTTTCCTACATAACTATTGGTCGTATTTAAATCATATCAATTAAATCATAGAATTTACCAATTCGGGTTGGATTAAGAAAATCATTTAAAAATTTGTGAAAAAGCATGAACTTTATCAAACATATGAAAAACTCAATCATTTATTGAAATTAGTTTTTCTATGAAAATTTCTTTTAATTGTAAACTAAAGTTCGGTTGACAAATATTGCAATATTTAGAGGCACTTGAGCTCTATTTTGTTCCAGCAAAGATAAATATGGTAAAATTTTAGATTAGCGTAAAAACTAAAATCAAAAATACTAAAATTTTTAAATATTTTTAATTTAACGGTGCAAAGTTTTTGATTAACAGTAATAAACTACAAAATGGTTTTTTCTTCAATTAAATTTACGCGTTAAGCACAAAAAAATGAAAAATGAAAACAAAAATTTGTAAGAAGATGTTTTAAGATAAAAGAGCTTAAAAGCCTAATTTTCTATATCAAATATCTCATTAGGCTAAAATTATAGAGTGTAAATACTTTCGAAAGCTACAGTTTTTTGTTATTTATTTTTTGTTACTTATATTAAATGCATATTAATTTATTTTACACATATTCGCATAAATATCACCATTATGCCATTAAGAAAAAGAAATTAATTTGCAAGCGTTTTTTAAAATAATTTGCAAATCCATATACGGTTTTATTAATGCATAAATTTGCATATTGTGGAATTTATTCTGCTTAATCTTTTATTATCAAACTGGCCAGAACTCCAATCAATAAAAACGGTACGCTATTGAAATAATAGTAACGAGATTGTTAAGTCAATGTAAAAATTCTGAAATTAATTTAAAGTTTTTTTGTCCACTTCGTTGAATAGGCTTTCCTTTTAAAAGTTTTTTTGTTTTATTTCAAAAATTACATACATTACTTTGGCTTATACAAAAAATATGCAATCTTTGAAATACATCCGTATACGAATGAAAGTATTTTTAGAAATGGGATATTCTTACTTATCGAAGGGAAATTTGCTACATTACAAACCATTGCTTTGAATCAACTTTATTGAATAAGGGTTTAGATTTTTTATAAAATAATACATATGTAAATAATTTCAGATCAAATGGTTTGCAAAATAGCAAATTCCCCTTCATTCAATTGAAAAATAATTTTCTAATTCAAATATTCTTATTCCAAATTCTGGAACAGTATATAAATATTGAGGATTCTCGACTTATAGGTGAAACGACTAGAAAAAAAGAAAGTCAAAAACAAACGAGACTTCTCGATTTAGTCTAAGAAGCTGGGACAGCTCTTCCGTGCCTTTCTTCACGGAATGTAGGCACAAAAACACCACAGTGCAAAACTAACGGTTAGTCAATTTGACTAGTTTTAGGAGTTTAGTCTTTCGATACTTTTCAACATCTATCTAGTGGTTTATACATATACATATATATATATTGCCATTAACAAAACAAGAAAGTATTATTTATAAATATTGCTAAGCATCTGAATAAGAACTAAATTTAAGATAAGCAATTAAGTATTGGCTAAATTCGACGGCTAACTACGTGAGTAAAAATGGACAATTCTTTTGTTAGGGGAAAGAGAGCTGGGAGGGAGTAAGAGGTGAGGGGATGGAGGAGAGTGAAATGATGTGTGGGAACGAGATGGAGGGGGAAGAGAGGCTATTAAGAACTTATTGAGCGTTTTAAGCAGGGTGGAGAAGCTATAAAAATTTGTATTTTATAAAAGTATGGATTTGGAAATGTATTTATATTTATAAAAATTTGGATTTTATATTAGTTTTTCAGTATGTGTGGAAAAACAGAGCACAAAATTTTATTGCTAAAACAAATATAGTTACTTATCTTATTTCAAATCATTATAAATTTAAGTATTTAAAATTCTTGAAACCATAAAAAATTTAAATAAACTCGTCATGAATTATAAACTTATAAAAAAAATTTCAACTCCAATT